CACACACACACACACACACACACACACACACACACACATATACCCACACCCAAGAAACAACAACAATAGCAATAATAATTCTCAGGCAAACACATGAATTTTTTCCCACAAAATTTCAAGTGATCAGAGGGAGAGGGGACTTACATGTGAAACAAGCCTGTTCCCTAACTTGAATTAATAATAATAAAAATACATATCCAAATGGCCTTAAAAATAAGGTTAAAAAATTGACTATCAGTTAAATGTAAGAGTATTAAATCAAAGAATTTTATTTTCAAATGTCTATCTATAATCTATTGTTTTAATTTGAATTTAATAAATCAATGACAGTCTTACAAAGTCAACTGAAAACAAGTAGATGCATTCTCCATAGGTCATCTAAGTTATAAAGACTGACTTTCTAAAGCAAATATTTCTGGCTAAATAATCATGCATGTTCTCTGATTTAATTTATACAAACTATCAAAACACTGGAATCAAACAGAAAGCCAGGTAAAGTTTACTGGAACATATTTTCTAGAAAACACCTTTAAAATCAGCATAACCTCACTGTGACAATGAAAAGACACAGAAAAGCAACTCCTTTTAAAAATAATTCCAATCCTCTTGATACATTTAAGAAAAAAAAAAAAAAAAAAAAAAAAAAAAAAAAAAAAAAAAAACAACTTAATAGTCAATGAGAAAAATACCAACATTCCAATGTAAAATAGGTAAAGGATATAAAATGGTAATTCAAAAGATACATCAATAGATATTAAGCTGATAGAAGAGATATTAAATGAGACACCATTATTTTAGCTACCAAAATGGCAAAGAGTGAAGAGAATGATAATGCCTACTACTGGAGAAAGTGAAAGGTGGGTAAAGGAGTTCTCATGTGACCAAGTGGGGTCTGAGACACCAAGAAAACTGGCCCAACCTTTTTAGTAGGCAATTTGGAAGTATGTATCAAAAGTCTTAGAATGTCCATACACTTTGACCCAGCAATTTTACTTCCGGAATTTATTCTAAGGAAATAACCAGAGATTAGGCAAAAAAAAAAAGCTCTGCACAAGCATGTTATCACAGTGTTTTTAAATAATAGTTAATTATTAAATAACTGTAATAATTAGTGTCCAACGATATGAAATTATGGTGTATCCATTTCATGTATTTGGCAGAGATTGTGATTTCCCTACTCAACATCCATTCTTGAGAGAGAGAGTTTTACCTATATGGCGGCTTGCCTAACTCTTAAGACTATTTTCTAGCCTTCCTTGTAGCAGAGGGGAGCCAGTGGAATGCAGTGAGAGTTACAAAGTGAAGTTTCTAGAAAGACTTCTTAAAAGGAACTTACTAAATGGGAAGGCAATTGCTACATTGCTTTTACCCTCTTCATCCTAAAGTATGTACTGTTGGGCACTAGCTGCCTCCTGGACTATAGATAACATTGAGGACAGAAACTATATACTAGGATGTACAATAGAAAAATAACACTCTTGGATCTTGATGACAAAATTGAATTGCAATACTAGCACAAGACAGTTTATGCTTAGGTTTCACTTCTGTACAAATCATATTGTGTTTTGTGGTATATGCAGGTAACCAATCTAGAAAATCTAACTAAAATACTATGTGATCATCAAAAAATATGTTACAAGAACATTTATTGAGATAAGTATATATTCATGACATACTACTAAATAAACAGACAATAAAACTTAAATTATTTTATTGCACAAATAAACTTATTTAAAAATACATTGGACATATACTAAGATACTTTTCACATGCTTTTTCCGCTTTACATGGTAATATTACAAGCCATTTAATTTTTTCTTTGTGCTACAATCATTCTCAGGTTTTCTACTGTGTATCAGTAGATCTGTGTATAATTATTTAATGGAAAACTCATATAGAACAAGGGATATTAAATAATGGAAATTCTTAGATATATAAGTTGTTTGGTTGACAACACAGATAAATGAGTTAAAATAATAATTATATATATACATATATACACATATATATAGATATACATATATATGGATAGTACAGAAAACACAGGCTAAAATAGGCTTTCTAATGTATACTATAACAAGTAAGTTTACACCATAAGGAAAAAAAAAATCAAGTCAATAATACTCAGGTAAAGAAGGAAAATACAAGTTAACCCAAATACTCAATGCTCGAACATTTGAAGTTGTTATGAGAACAATTAAAAATATTCTGATATTAAAAAGTACCTTTGTAGCAGGCAAGTGTTAGAGCACTTTCTTTGAACTCATTAGAATGAGTGTTGATGCCTGCACCATGATCTAGAAGAACTCTGGCAACTTCCACATGACCAGCACTGGCTGCTTCCATTAGGGGCGTGTGTCCATTTTCATTATGGTCTTCTATATTTGCACCCTCATTAAGCAGCACTTTTACAATGTCAATAAAACCTCCAGCACAGGCATAAGTTAGTGCAGTATTCCCTAACAAAGAACAAAAAAAGTACAAAATTATGAAATAGGTGTCATGCTACTGTTTTAGTTATCTCTCTCCAATTCCAATTGACATAAAGCATAACTACTATCTCAAGTTGTATGTTTTGTTTGTTGTTTTTGTAAGTGCTAGAGATTCAACCCCGTGTCTCACACATGCTAGACAAACATGTTCTTGATATACTACTAAATAAAATAAACAGACTATAAAATTTAAATTATTTTATTGCACAAATATGTATATCTTAAAAACACTTATTTAAAAATATACTGAACATATACTAAGATACTATTTACATGCTTTTTCCCCCTTACATGGTAATATTACAGGCCATTTAGATTTTTCTTTGTTACAACCATTCTCAGGTTTTCTACTGTGTATCAGTAGATCTGTGTATAATTATTTAATGGAAAAATCATAGTTGTGAGACCAAAAGTGGGCGCTGAGACTGGAACCCTGGTCCTCTTTAGAAATCTTTTAATAGTGACAGAACTAAACTAAAATTAGATTGCATGAATTCCACGCTACGAGTCATCTCAATAATGTTTGTTTATTTTTGAGATGGCCCAGCTTTGCAACCTAGGCTTGCCTTAAATTCCCTGACCCCCTTGTCTAAGCCAGAACTACATACAGGTTTAACCACCTAGTTTGTTTGTTTGCTTGTTTTTTCTTTCCTTTTTCCCAAAAAGGGAATAGCTATATTTGTGTTGGGCCTCAATGGTGAGCAGGTGCCTGTAAAAGGATATCTAGTGCCAAGCAAAAAGCACCTAAACCAGGTGAGAAGAATGCTGAGCACCTCCCCAGATGAAGCTGAAGTGCTCTGTCTCTCCAAGACTGGACTGCTTTAGAGTGCAGAAGGAAATTCCTTGGAACCTTTTTAAAAAATTATATGTAATGGGGTGTTGGAGAGATGGCTCAGTGTTAAGAGGACTGGCTGTTCTTTCAGAGGACCCAGGTTCAATTCCCAGCACCCACATAGTAGCTCACAACTGTCTATAACTCCAATTCCAGAGAATCTGGCATCCACGCAAGCAAAACACCAATGCCATAAAAAGAGAAAAAGAAAAAATTATATTTAGTTATGAGTATCATATGTAAGAGAGTATAGGTATACATGTGCATTGGTGTGCATGCATGTAGAAGCCAGAAGTCAAATTCCAGGAGCTGTTCTTTTTCCATCTTTCTGTGGATTTCAAAGATCAACTTGGGTCATCGGGCTTGAATAGCAAGTGCTTTTATCAGCTGAGCCATCTAATCAGCCCAGAAACTATATTTCTAATAATCACTCTAAATAATTCTGGCATACAATAGGAGGTATAGTCTATTGAAAAAGTAAACAAATTCAGGGCTGAAGAGATGGCTCACTGGTTAAAATCATGAAATTGGACAGGCAGTGGTGGTGCACGCCTTTAGTCCTAGGACTTGGAAGGCAGAGGCAGTGGAATCTTTGGATCTTTGAGTTGCAGGCCAGGCTAGTCTACAGGGTAAGTCCCAGGACTACACAGAGAAAAAACAAAAATCAAAAACAAAACAAAACAACATGAAATTAGAGTTTAGGTTACCACACCCACATAAGCCAGACATCCTGCACGTGCCTTGAACACTAGCTCTGAGAGGAGTGAAGACAGGTTGCTGGCTGCTGGCCTACTCAAGAAAATAGAGTCCCAAGTCAGGTAGAGACCTTGCCTCAAAGAAATAGGCAGTGGAATAGGAGAATACCTGATGTCCTCTACTGGCCTCCATGTATGCATGCAAGAGCATGCAAAATCAATCAATCAATCAATTTAAAAAATAATTGATTAGGAATTTACTTATGGGAAGATAAATCAAATTTTCTATTTTTTCAATTAAATATGAGTTAAGATCATGAGTGGAAATGGGAGGGCAAGAGTAAGGTATTTTCATTAGCCATTTATAGGGTATACTAAAATTCCATTGGCACATACCTACTGCCTGATACACAGCCAGGCCTCTTTCTACATCCCAGCACTCAGGACGCAGAGGCAGGTGGATCTGAGTTCAAAACCAGCTTAGTCTAAATTGTGAATTTCAGGCCAGCCAAGGCTACATAGTGAGACCCTGTCTCAAAGCCTCTAACCCCAAATAAGCAAAATAAAAATAAAATTCTAAAATCTTATTCAAAATTAACTATTTTCTTTTAATACTGTGTACCTTAGAATATTTAACATTTTATTTTTCTCCCATTTTTAAAATTTAAATTAGAAACAAGATTGTTTTACATGTCAATCCCAGTTCCCTCTCCCTCCCCTCCTCCCCTGACCCCCACTAACACACTACCTATCCCAACATTTTATTTCTATCCATTGATTTTTTTAAAAAACGTTTTTAACAGATCCAACAAAAACACAATTCATTGCTTTGGATATATTTTCCTCTAGACATAGATCCTCCCAGAACAAGACTTACAGATGGTTGAGAGCCACCTGACATGGGGTTGGGAAATAATCTTGGGTCCTCTCTAACAGCAGTAATTTGATCTTAAAAGACATACCATCTCTCCAGACCTGAGACAAATATCTTACATTCACAATATAACCCAACAAGATGGGTATACATTCCTCTCAGTTTTAATACCTTCAAAAGAAATACTTTTTTTTCAAGACGGGGTTTCTCTGTATAGCTTTGAAGCCTGTCCTGGAATTGGCTCTGTAGACCAGGCTGGCCTCGAACTCACATATATTTGTCTACCTCTGCCTCCCAAGTGCTGGGATTAATGTATAGCCTTGTAGAAGTATATCTGTCACTGAGGTGGACTTTGAAGTCTTCTGCATTCCCAGGCTTCTTTCTGTCCCCTGCTTGGGGATCAACATGTGAGCTTGCAGCTATTCTGGTCACTTTGCTCTGTCATTGTGGACTCTAACCTTCTGAAGTTGTAAGCCCAATTAAACGATTTCTTTCATAAGTTGCCTTGGTCATAGCATTTTATCACAGCAATAGAAACCCTAACTAATACAGAAGTTGGTATCAGAGATTGGGCTATTGATGTGACCATGTGGTTTTTGGGAGGAATGTAAGAGTTTGAGACCTTGGACTAGAAAAGCAGTTAAATGCTGTAAGCAGAGCTTACTGGACCATTCTAGTAGGAATTTAGAAGACAGTAGTGTTGAGAATGAGGACTATGGAAGTCTGGCTTAAGAGGTTTCAGAGAAAAACAATATTAATAACTGGGCTAGAGAGCATTCTTGTGATGTTTTGGCTAAGAATGTGGCAGCTTTCTGCTCTTATCCTAAGAATTTGTCTGAGGCTAAATTAACAAATAACAGAAAATTTCTTTGTCAGAGATTTTGAAGACAGTGTAGTATTGACTCTGTGCGTGGTTATTAATAATCGCTCTTATGTAGGGCTATAATGAAAAAGGAGTAAGAGGGACAAAACTAAATAGAAATTAAACAGTTTGGGCTGGAGAGATGGCTCAGTGGTTAAGAGCACTGCCTGGGCTTCCAAAGGTCCTCAGTTCAATTCCCAGCAACCACATGGTTGGTCACAACCATCTGTAATGAAATCTGGTGCCCTTTTCTGGCCTGCAGGGACACATGCAGGCAGAACACTGTGTACATAGTAAATAAATAAATCTTAAAAAAAAAAAAAAAAAAAGAAAGAAATTATACAGTTTGAAGAGAAAAAGAGCATGAGGAAATGTAATGTTGGAGTTAAGGAGAAATAGGTAAGGAGATCAAGGAAGACCCACCCAGTTAAGCTTCAAACTTACAAAAGGGCTAAGGAAATTTCTGTTCCTAGAAAACAATAACAAACAAAAGCTGCTGTATGATTTAAGGGGATCAGGCTCCAGTTCAAGCAGGCAGCTGAACTTAGCAGTGTTATCCATGTAGTTACTGTTTTAGAAGCATGAAGGATATAGGAGTAAAGGGATTATAGAATCTTCCTCCATGGTTAAAGAGAGCTGCTGGAGCCAGGCATGTAGCAAGTGGGGGGGTCCCTGTATGAATGAATGCCCTAAGGGCCTTCATAAAGCAGTCAAGGTGACAGCTGGATTGCATTGGTGTTCCCAAGATATTACAGGTACCTGAGCTATGGGTCTGCCAGGAAAGCTGCATACAGGGGGTGGAACTAGCCTAGGAAAAAGAACCATGTTGCATGCTGCAAAGCTGGAAGGGAAGAACCATCTAAGTCCTTTGATATTACACATGGAGCTACAGGATTTGGAGTTTGCCCTGCTTGCTTTCCATCTTTGTCTAGTATTTCCTCGTTGTGACCCATCCCTCCCTTTTGTAATGGTAATGTATATTCTGTGCCATTGAATGTTGGAAGTATGTAATTTGCTTTCTGATTTTAAAGGGGGTTACAATTAAGAGATTGCCTTGAGCAGTGGTTCTCAAGCTTCCTAATGCTTTGACCCTTTAATATAGTTCCTCATGTTTTGGTGACCACCCCAACCACAGAATAATTTTCATTGCTACTTCATAAGTGTAATTTTGTTACTGTTATGAATTGTAATGTAAGTATCTGTGTTCTCCAATGGTACTAGACCACCCTGTGAAAGGGTCATCTGACTCTAAGGAGTTGCAACCCACAGGTTAAGAACCACTAGGCTTGTGTCTCAGAAGACAAAACAGTATTGATATTGGGACTATGACTATAAGGACTTTTAACGTTGTACTAAATGTATTTTGCATTATGCTATGACCACAAACCTATTTGGAGTCATGGAGCGAAAAACAGTGGTTTGAATGAGAATGTCCCCCATAGGGTTGCATGATTGGATATGTATGTGGTCCTCAGTTGGTGGAACTGTTTGGGAAGGATCAGGAGGTGTAGTCTTGGAGGAGTTATGACACTGGGGGACTGGCTTTATGGTTTCAAAAGATTTCTACCATTCCTGGTACTCATGTTCTCTGTCTCTCTCTCTCTCTGCTTGAAGATCAAGATGTAAGCTCCCCTTGGGCAGTAGTGGCATTTGTCTTTAACCCCAGCACTAAGGAGGCAGGCAGATTTCTGAGTTTGAAGCCAACCTGGTCTGCAGAGTGAGTTCCAGGACAGCCAGTTCTATTACACAGAGAAGCCTTGTCCTGGGGGGGGGGGGGGCTCAGCTCTTAGTTATTCTTGTGCCATGTCTTTGCTCCACCATTGCGAACTCTTATGCTTTCAAACTATAATCCCAGTTGAACTCAGGGTTTCATGTATGCTTGGCAAGTAGTCTTTAAAACTTCCTTTATAGCATTTAAAAAAGGAGGAGGGAGAAATAAGTTGGGGGAAGCAGCATTTTCTTACTAATAAATGTATTCATCATATCATAAAAGAAAAATCTGATATTGCAAACACAAAGTCAAAGGAGCTATACTTAAATGAGATAAAGAACTAGAGGAAATATAGTTCATAACTTTTTCTTTATACATTATATATCTCTGGGACAAAAGAAAAGGAACTATTTGTAGCAGAAAAACTATTCAACTTGACCAAATCGAACCTATACTGTTTTTGAGATGGTTTTATTACGCAGACTAGAACTGTCCTGGAAGACCCTATATATCCAACATGTGTTTCAAACACACAGCAATCATCCTGCCTCAGCTCTTAAATGCTAAGATTATGCACAAGTGCCACTATGCCTGGTTCAAGTTTATGTTAGATTTGTTGTTGTTGGAAATAGGACCTTTCTACCAACCCCAGACTATCCTTAAACTCAAGAAGCCCCCTACTTCAGCCTCCTGAGTGATAGGATTTCAGTTGGGCTGCATGGCTTAAAGACTTTTCAGTCAGGCATGGTGGTACATGCTATAATCCCAATACTCTTAAAGGTTGAAGAAAGAGGATTTTTGAGTGCAAGGGCCATCCTGGTCCACACACTGAGATCATAGTTCAACAAACTACAACAAAGACTTTTAAAGATATCAAAGTCAAGATTACTTTCAGAAGGTTTCCATTTATTTCCCCCAATAATATAATTTTTTAAAATTACATTTACTTGTTTTGTGTGTGCATGCCATGGCCTGAGTGTGAAATAAGAGGTCAACTTTCAAGAGCTGGTTCTCTCCTGCCATGTGCATCCTGAAAACTGAACTCAGGAAAATAAGCCTGGCAGCAGGTTCCTTATTCACTGTGCCATCTCACCAATGCTCTAGCAATCAAATTTTTATTAATTATGTTATAATAAATTATATATTTTGGAGTGTCTTTTGTTTCTGTTTTTTTACTTTTGAGATAGGATTTCTCTATGTACCCTTTGCTGTCTTGGAACTTGCTGTATAGACCAGGCTGGCCTTGAATTCACAGAGATCCACCTGCCTCTGCCTCATGACTGCTGGGATTAAAGGCATGTGCCACCACTACCTGGCAGTCAATTTTAATATAATAAAAAAATTATGTCAATTTTTCTTTCATATCAATTTATACATACCTGTTGCTGACTGGGAGTTGACATCTGCATCATGAAGAAGTAATAATTTCACAATATCTAAATAACCTCCACTGGAAGCTGCCATCAGAGGAGTTATATCTCCTTTATTCCCTCTATCTTCAACATTAGCATGCATAGCTAGTAGTACCTTTAAAAACACACAAAGATGTTATTATTGCTTACTATTAATAGTACTTACAGAAAAAAATATTCAATCTGAGAAGATAACCTTTTGAGATAGTGATAAAAAAATAAGCAAAAATAATCACCTTTTAGGAAAATCCAATTTTTACTAGTCAGGATGACAGTTCAGATCACATATTTTCCTAATACCATTTGAGAGACAGTATCTCATGCATCTGAGTCTCAAACTAACTAGGAAGCCAAGGACAACCTTGAATCCCAAGTCCTCCTGTCTACACACCCCAGATGTTAGGATTATAGGCATGCACCACCACTCCTAGCTAGTACATGTTAATCTTTAAATAAAGATCTCATTAGCTATCCTATCATATGTATCTGCTCTTATAAAAGAATTTGTGCTGTTTGAGATTGTCTAGCAAGAGAGCAATAAAAATAGTTTATTTCCCAAGATTGTTCCATATAGAAGAAAAAAACATTAGAACCGGGATACTCTGAATGCAGTAGAAATAAACTTCTGCTTTCCCTTATAGCTTTAATTTTTTTGTTTGTTTGTTTTTTCATTGTTTTTTGAGACAGGGACTCACTATGTAACTCAGCCTGGCCATGAACTTGTTATTTGCTTGCCCTAGTCTTCCAAGTGCTAAAATTATAGGTGGGTGCCACCACCTTAACTATACATGTTTTTTTTTTTTTAAAATTATTAATTCTTTGTGTGTGAATAGGCATGCCATGATCACAGCACACAGGTAGAAGTCAGAGGACAACTTGTAGGAATTGGATCTCTCTCTTTTCACTACGTGGGCCTTAGTAATCAAACTCAAAGTCAGGTCCTTGGGCTTAGCACTAGGTGCTGAGCCATCTCACCTGACCAGTTATCTATTTTATTTTTAAAAATTTTGTGCGTACGGGTGTTTTGCCTGCCTGTGTGTTTGCACACCACATCCATGCACAGTACCTGTCGAGGCTATAAGGCATCATATCCTCTGGAATTGGAGTTACAGATGATTGTGAGCTGCCATGGGAGTGCTGGGTCCTCTTGAAGAGCAGTCAGTACTCTCACCCACTAAGCCATCTCTCAAGACCCAGCTATACACTATTTTTTTTTTTTTTTCCAAAATAAAGTTTCTCTGTGTAGCCCTGGCTGTCTTAGAACTCATTCTGTAGACCAGGCTAGTCTTGAACTCAGAGATCTACCTGCATTTACCTCCCAAGTACTGGGATTAAAAGTTTGTGCCACCACTGCCTGGTTTATATACTATTTTTAAAAGTTTAGAACTGAGGACATGGTTCAGTAGATGGTATTAACCAGGAAAACCTGAGAGCTGGAGTTCCCAGGACTTGAGAGGCAGATACATGAGATCTCCAGAGCAAACTGGCTAGCTAGAGGAACAAACTGGGAAACTCCAGGTTTACCAGGGTAAAAGACCCTATCTCAGTGAACAAAGTGGCCAGTAGTCAAGGAAGACAAACCTAATATCAGTTTCTGGCCTACACAAGCACCTCCACACATATTCAAATATACCCAAGCCCCTCTCTAATTTTAAACACTAACAATTATTTTGGGGCTGGGGCTGTAACTCAGGGTAAAGCATTTACCTCACATGCATAAGGCCCTGGATTTGATGATCCCCAGCACTACTAAAATTAATAAAGATTATTTCTGCTTACTTGTGCCAGTTCATAATACCCTGCTGAACAAGCCAAACATAGGAGGCTTTCTCCTTCTTCTGTGTGTTCATTTACACTTCTGCCTTCATCTAGCAATTTTCGAACAGCATTCACATCTCCATCTGAACAAGCTTCTGCCAGACTGCGACTAAAATCAAACATTACACACAAAGTTAACTGATGTAAAAAGACTCATGATCCTATGATACAAAATTACATCAAGTAGTTAGACACATATAAAAAATGCATTAAGATAAATTGACAGGATTTTATGTAAATTTTATGTACCAAGTATCCTATTTGTAAATGAGGATACACAAACTTCAACTAGGCAAAAACATGAATTTGAAAATAGCTATCATTTTTATTATTATAGATATGTTTTATGAGTTATAGACACTTGTTAGCTACCATATGAGTTCTAGAAACCAAACCCAAGTGCTCCTAATGCTAAGTCATCTCTCCTACCCTATTTTTATTTTTTAATAGTATATACAGTATGGGTTTCATTACCGGATTTTCATACATATTTTATTTCTGCTGATTCTCTTCTTTTCCTACACTGCTTCTCCAACCAACATCCCCAATAACTGCTGTTTTTGTCTTTAAAAATATTTCTGGTGCTGGGCGTTGATGGTGCACGCCTTTAATCCCAGCACTCAGGAGGCAGAGGCAGGTGGATCTCTGTGAGTTTGAGACCAGCCTGGTCTACAAGAGCTAGTTCCAGGACAGCCTCCAAAGCCACAGAGGAACCCTGTCTGGAAAACAAACAAACAAACAAAAAATATATATATTTCTGGTAAACATTTATATCTGATGTCAACTTCAAAAAACAGCAATCCTCAAAGCTAACAGACTCAAAGGCAACTAAAAGAATCACTGTTGGGTTTTAGAATCTAGAAGTAAAGTAACTTGTGTTTGTTTATTGATATGGGTCTAACGTAGTTCAGAAGGTGCCCAAACTCTATTATGTACTTCGGGGATTACACTCACATTCAACCAAACCTGGCTCTGGCATAGATTTTGACAGTCACAGAGTGACTGAGGGCCAGCAAGACAGCTGAGTGGGGAGAGGCAAGTGCTGCCATGCCTGACAATCCAAGTTCCAAACCTTACTAGCCCTCAGACTTTGTAACCTTAAGTTTATTAAACATGATTTTTAAAAAATGCACAATACTGGAGGTCCTAGAAGAATATTTGAGCAATATTTTTAAAAAGACAGGGTCGTCTACATAGCCCTGTAGTCTCGAATTCAAGAGTTTCACCTGCCTCAGCTTCCCAAGTGTGGGAATTAAAGGCATGCACTACTGTGTCATTCTAGAAATTTAGTATTTTGAAAATTTTATATAACCTCAATGTGAAAGAAATACCTTATCCAAAATCACATTTAGACAATAGACTCATATAACAACAGCAGCAGTGAAAACATCAGCACTAGCTCTGCAGTGGGTTCCTCAGCAGAGAAAACAGTAGGATCTTAGGGTGAATAATATATTACTTCTTTTTTAACATTTACTTAATTTTGTGTATATATACATGTGTACTTCAAACCTCTGCCACAGCATGAGTATGTGGAAGTCAAAGGACAACTCACATGAGTTTATTTTCTCCCTCCAGCATGTGGGTCCCAAGAATCAAACCCAGACAGTAAGACTTTTTACCACTTGAGTCATCTTTCTAGGCCAGAAACATTAATTTCAAATCTCAAATTATCAGCAAGAAAAGTCATTCTTCTGGTACAAGTTACATAATAGAATTATTTTTCAACAAAGGTAGGCATAAAGTAATCATTGTGGGGGTAGAAAGATGGCTCAGTGGTTAGGAGAACTTGCTGCTGCAGTTCATGCAGAAGACCTGGGTTCAGTTCACAACCATCTGTAGCTTCAATTACAAAGGACCTGACATTCTTCTGACTTCCACAAGCACACACATGCAGGTGATGAAAATATATACAAGCAGCAATGTATTCTCACACTTGATATAAAATATTTTTAAAATAATACTGTCATTATACATAAAATTTAGAGTGTTAGCCAGTTTGTTTAGAGTTTTGTTTTTCAGTTTTAAGTATTAAGAATAATTAAAAACGTAGCTGATATAGTACAAAGGACTACCTTTTTTTGTTGCTGTTTTCTGGTATGGATTGAAGCTTAGCTTTTCTCAAAGCATTAACTTATAGTAATCAAAATCTACAAATTAATCCAGAGTTTTTATTGACATCACATTTTTGGTTCTACTATTTGTGTTAACAAACACTGCTATAACAGACTGCATAAAAGCCACCAATGGTGAGTCCAATTACCTGGTCTATTGTTTTTGTTTGTTTGTTTTAAAATCGATTCTTTATTTAGGCAACAAGTTGTTTATATTCACTGCATTGTATGAAACATCACAATATCATAACTGGAAAGGTACTATCAGTACAAGGTTGGATCAGAGTGGACTGGTTAAACAATAAACCATTTTGCAATCTTCATTCCCCAGTGGCCTATTGTTTTTTGAGACAGGGTCTCATTATATGTCTCTGGCTGGCCTTGAATTCACAAAGTAGAGTAGATCAGGCTGGCCCTGAACTCACAGATCTGCTTGCCTCTGCCTCCTTAATGAGTCAGATTAACTGATCTTTTGCAAAGATACTATTTTTTTTCCTTTGTAAAAAAGTTATCTTTTGAGGCATTTGATGAACAATGTTTTAAAGGCTACCACCATACTGATTCCCAAAGATATTTTTGTACACGAACCTATGGCTTAAAGTTTTACCTTGGTAAAAAGAATTTCTGTAAAATAGCTAACTGAGCTTAGGAGTGGTGGGACACACCTTTAATCCCAGCTTTCAGGAGGTAGAGACAAGGGATCTCTATAAACTTGAAGCCAGCCTAGTCTACTGAGCAAGTTCCAGAATGGTAAGGGTTACATAGTAAAACCCTGTCTCAAAAAACAAGCAAATGCCGATCTTTTGCGAGCCATCCGGGTGGGTGAAAGACCCAAGCTAACATGGGGTTAGCTCGTTAAATTACAATAAAGCCTCATGCAGTTTGCATCAAAAACAAAAACAAAAACAAAAACAAGCAAATGCCGGGAGGAGGAGGTGGCACACACCTTTGATCCCAGCACTAGGGAAGCAGAGGCAGGCAGATCTCTGTGAGTTCGAGGCCAGCCTGATCTACAAGAGCTAGTTCCAGGACAGCCTCCAAAGCCACAGAGAAACCCTGTCTCAAAAGAACAAAAACAAAAACAAAAAAACAAGCAAACAAATAAAACAGGACCCATGAATTTACTTTACCTTTCTTTAAGACAGACTCGAATACTATAGTTCTTAAACTCACTATATAATCCAGGTTGGCCTTGAATTCATATCAGTCATATCATTTCAGTCTCACAAGTGCTGAGATTACAGTATGCCACATTGCCTAACTTAAATCCATGAAATACCCTATTAAAATGCAGAGTTTGATCCAGTACATCTGGGTTTGATTTTCTTTTTAAATTTACAACTTAAAGTTATGATGGGCAGTAGTGGTGCATGCCTTTAATCCGAGCATTCAGGAGGCAGAGGCAGAGGATCTCTGTGAGTTCGAGGCCAGCCTTGTCGACAGAGTGAGTGCCAAGACAGGCTCCAAAGCTACACAGAGAAACTCTGTCTCAGGGGAAAAAAAAACCAACTTCAAGTTATTTTGAAAGAGACTCTCTCATACAGCTCAAGTTGAGTTCAACTTCATTATGTGGCTATGGTTGGCCTTGAACTGCCAATCCTCCTGCCTCTGCCTCTAGAGTGCTAAGTATTACAAACATATGCCACCACACATAGCCTAAGACTATGTACTTCAAACAAGTTCTGTTATATACTCATACTCTCCACAAACCATATTTAAACAACCAGCAACCACACTGTTGAGTAAGTAATCCATTTCATTTATGACTAAATAAGTAGTAAGGTTAGATTTACTGTAACTTATTTTGAAGTAGAAACTGGTCTTATTCAGTTTGGATTTCTCATATACTATAAATACCAAATACCCACAAAATATTTAATAGTGAATGCAAAGCTAGGGATGGTGGCTCACACTTCCGACATCAGCATTCAAGGAAGATAAGGCAGGACTGCTGAGAATTTAAGGGCTGCCTGGGCTACAGAGTGAGATCCTGTCTCAAAAACAAAACCAGTAACTAGCAGGGTAAGACATCTTTAATCCCAGAACTCAGGAGGCAGAGGTAGGTAGATCTCTGTGAGTTGAGTTTAGCCTGGTCTACTTAGCATATTCTAGGATATGTAAAGCACTCCAGACTTTCCAGGGCAACATAGTGTCAAAAAAAACAAAACATTTTCTGGTCCATGCAGTAGATTTGTGAGGGAGGGAGAGCATACTTGGAGTGAGCATACATACATGCAAACACTCATACACATAAAAATAAAAATACCTAAGGGCAAAAATAAATAAATAAATAAATAAATAAATAAATAAATAAATAAATAAATAAAAGCCAGGCATTGGTGGCACATGCTTTTAATCCCAGCACTCCAGAGGCAGAGGCAGGAGGATCTCTGTGAGTTTGAAGCCAACCTGGTCTACAGATCGAGTATGGCAGGGCACAAAGCAATACAGAGAAACCCTGTCTCGAAAAACCAAAAAAAAAAAAAAAAAAGAAGAAGAAGCCAGGCATAGTGATACATGCCTTTAACCCCAGCACTTAAAAGAGGCAGGCACATCTCTGAATTTGAGGCTAGCCTGGTCTACACTGAGTTCTAGGGAAGCCAGGGCTATGTAGAGAGACTGTCTCAGAAAAAATGAATAAAAATATCATTTTTATATCTATATAGTATGTACATATTCATATCAACTTAAACTGTAACATCCTTCCAAATACCCACTTGGCTCATGTTTTTCAAGAAAACTAGCAAAGTATTGAATACATACGTGTCCACTTGTCCTGTACTATGTGTGTTCTCTGCTCTCATTCGTGTCAGTGCAGCAGCAGCTTCATCCAGGGCACAGCTAACTGAAGATGTCAGTCTCCGGAGTACTTCAGGATCTGCAAAAGCTTTACCATCGGCAGTTGACAACTTGCCAATTCCTTAGCAGGCAGTGCAGGGAAAGAAAAAGCAAAAAAAGTGTTGAAATTATATTTTAAGCACCATTACACATGCCAAAGAAACAACATATACCCCATAAATGAACCTGACAGCAAATAAATAAGGTTGAAGATTTCAGTTCTACCACTAACATCAAAGCCATAGCATAATCACCCATGTTTTAATATTTCCATCTTTACAATATACATATTAGCTTTTCCTATACCTAATTCTGAATTTGACTTAATATGATCCTGAGTAATAATTTCATTTGAAGAACTGTCATAGCAATAAAATCTCTACTACTTGCCCATTCTACTTTCAGTAGCAATGAAGGAGGGACCCTGTAATTTATCATAATAAACAATTCAACGTTTTCCCCCCTTTTGGTCAAATATCCACTTAACATCTTCTGGGGTAACATTTTAAATTGAGTCTGACAGATACCATAAATGAAAAACCAAATATGCAATACCCAATGACTTTATGTAATTTATAAATAGGTTCCATAATTTCCTTTATATCTTTTTTTCTAGTCATTAATAGATGACATTTAACTTTTCTTTCCTTTGTTAGGAAATGTTAAAAGGCTATTAACAATCTTTCTGACTCTCTAACAGTATAGTTTGAGGTTTTGGTTTCATTACTGTTATTACTATTTTTTTGTATATGTATGTGTGTGTATGAGAATATGTGTATGTAGTGTATGCACATGTGTGTATAGGTGCACATGCTTTTGTGTAGGCCAGAAGAGGATATCACATGTCTTGCTGTAGTACTCTATACCTAAGTCCTTCTAAACACAGTCTCTCACTGAACTAGTAGCTAGGCTGACAGCCGGCAAGCCCCAGGGAATCTACTCTCTGCTTCCCCCATAGCACTGGAGTTACAAGCCAGCCACACCTGACTTTTTATGTGGTTTGGGATCCAAATTAATGCCCTCATATTTGGCACAGCAAGAACTCTTATCCATGGAGACAGCTATCCAACACCATATATATATTTAAAGATACGGACTTGCTATATAGCCTAAGATGGTCTTGAACTTCTGATCATCTTGCCTTGAGTTCCTGAGTACTGAGATCATTCATGCTTACCACACACCTGGTTAGTAGTACTAGGAAGCTGAGCTAATTTACATGCTTTAAAACTTTTTGTTTTGAATTTTCAGCATGTTAACACTCTTTATTCCCCTGCTTTTTATATTGTCTCAGTTGGCCTCAAATGTAATACACAGCCAAAGCTGGCTCTGATCTCCTGATCCATCTGCCTCCAACTCACAACTGCTGGGATTATAGGTGTGTAACACAAGCCCAGCTAACAGCTAAGATAAAGTAAACATATGGCATTTAATGTGTAGCTAACTATTTTTTATTATTTTATTTACTTAAATTTATTAGAGACAAAGTCTCTCTTTGTAGTCCTGGTTATTTTTTTATTTGGGTTTTTTTTTTCGTGGGGGCGGGGGTG